ATTCCGAGGTGAAAGCCCTAATATGACTGGGCTATATGTCCAGCAGTAATTTAATATAATATTTAATATAATCTAACAAACTACAGTTTGTTACTATACATTACGGTACGTAGTGTTTTAATTATCGTACTTATCTACTCATTACAAACATATCCTACACTAAAAATGGTAAAATAAACCCTTTTAAAAAAAAAGTTGAACCGACTTCAAAAAACACCGACAAAGAGCACTAAAAAATTAAAAAATAATTACAAATCTAAGTAAAAAACTATAATAAGTACCCTCAATGTAACAGGTAACATTATAATACCAATAGTCCCTTCTAGTCTGTTTGAAGTCGGTGCCAAGCTCGATGCACAATAAGTAAAACTGGTCTATGTCAGCTTTATATTAGCACAATGAAAAATTAAGAATTCAAAATAATTCTAATGAAACATCGAAGATTTTGTTAATTAATAAAGACCAACCAGATCAATTACGTGCGCAAACGTATCAACTCCTTATTAAAGCATTCAAAATAATAATATAATTGGAGATGTGCGTCCACTTTAGCTCGTTCAACTTGTTTTGCGCAGCATGAAGACTGTTGCAGCTGCCGCGCTACATTCTATCAAGCACCTATTTGGCTTGGCACCGACTTCAAACCGACTAGAAGGGACTATTGGTATTATAATGTTACCTGTTACATTGAGGGTACTTATTATAGTTTTTTACTTAGATTTGTAATTATTTTTTAATTTTTAGTCCTCTTTGTCGGTGTTTTTTGAAGTCGGTTCAACTTTTTTTTTAAAAGGGTTTTATTAATACACTTCGCATACAGCCGTCTGCACTGGACAGAGTTTACCAGTCTGCTAATAAACTTAGTGATATATTTTAAAAAACCTACATAAAACTATTGGTCATGGCCGTCACAAAATGATTTATCCAGGTTGGAACTTGAATCCACGGCTTCTAGCTCTGTGGTCATGATTACTTAGGACTAGACCCGCCATCAGTTAGAAAGAATATAATCTATTATAATCAGTCTTTGTCTTCCTTTTACACAACTAACTATGACATAATACTATCTCCGTGAAAGAAAAATATGCTTCCGGAGTCCTTAAATGTGCTATAAAGAATCACATAACAAGCGTGAAAGTGTTAAACACCATTTTTATAGAAGGCTTTCGTTTTCACGCTCGGTGCGCATGCAAACACGCCACTTTAACTTAGAGTGTCGTGAACAGATTTCTTGAGAATAAGCTGCAAAAGACTTGGTAAAACCCGTATTCTTTACAGCGTGTTTATCTATTAAGAAAACTCGTGTTGTCTTTAGATAAAGTAAAGAAAACAAGTGGATTCGCCACTCCTTAATTTTCCACTCTCAAAATTTTCTATAGTCCAATCCATTTCGATGTATGACCTGTATGACAGACTATTTTAAAATGCCCGCCAATTTTTAAAAACAAATGACTGAAATCATTAAACATCTATAGATTCCCAAAGATATTTTAAATTTATTTTTCATCAGTTACTTTTCTTACTGGCCTATTCTAAAAAGTTCACTATAACCTACTTAAATATAAAAAACACTAAATTGAGAATCTTTTATGTGAAGTCGCGTAAAAGACTTCAAAACCGTGAATAACCTGAGTGGTTTTCATATTTTAATGGTATTACTTACTTTTGTAATTCGAGTCGTTTATTATTATTATTATTATTATCTATAATGTATGTATTTCGAAACATAAAAGAATGTTGATCAGCAGCCTGGTTACCATAATACAGGCTTTGCCTAGTTTGTAATCAGGCCATATGTGTGGTATGTAAGGTTATTATTATTATTAATTAAAACCTTAAATATTTATCAAAGTTTTAAAACATAAGTACAAAGAGATTGTTTTCGGAATTCCGGTTTTTATCAGCTAACAAGCTCACGTTCCGTTTTATTTTCGAAATAGTATAAAATAAATATTTGAACAGATCACATATTATTTATACTCTTGAGTACATTAAATAGCTTGACAAATAAAGTGTATCTTTCTCGGCAGTTGTTGGCACAAGACAGAGCTGAAATATATCTCCTTTTGTCTGTCTCAGCCTAATCCTATATGTGTACCTATACATACACATGTAACCCGTCCAACGTGGTATAGTAGGCTAAAACCTGCTTTCTAAAAAAAGGTCTATGTCTGCCAGTGGACTATTAATGGCTGTTAATGTACCTACGCATATAATTATATATAGTACCTGACCACGGCAATTTCGTCTACGTCCCTCAAAGAGATTTTTTTTTTCATTTCAGCAATATTTTTCATTGAGACTCGTATTAGTCGATATACATCATCATCATCAACAGCCTTTACTCACTGCTGGACATAGGCCTCTCCTTAGAAAGGAGGTTTTGGCCTACTATATCACGCTGGACAGACCGGTTGGTATAGGGTTTGTTAAAGTGCGTAGTTTGCTCCCTTAGTCGGTTCTTACGACACCCACGGGATAAAAATAGGGTGCTGACACTCCGTATTCTTAACCCGTCATCACACGGAAAAGGCTTACATCCGATTTTCTTATAATATCTTCCTCGTTGAAATCAGTCAGTTTAAATAAAAAAGAAGCAAAATGCTTTACTACAGCCTTAATTTTTATACCAACGATAGCTATAACGTTACACAGTATAGTCCAGTCATTATAGTAAGTTCACCTCGGAGTTCGAGATACCCAGCTGTAAGTCTGTAAATACTTGTATAGTGACACCCTAAAAGTTGTCTCAAAACCTACATATGTTAGGGTGTAAGCAACTATTAAATTTCAAGGTCAAAAGTCACAAACATCGGTTTATTGCGCTTTTTTTGTAAATATCTCATTCTCTATGGGTTTCTGCTATTTGTATTCATTTTTAATATTGTAGAATACGAAATTCTCTACAAATTTTGTTTAAAAAAAATTTTTATTCGGTGAACCGTTTTCGAGATAGAGGGCGGAGAGCGCGCGGTCACAGCATCATTTCAGGTCAACCGGTGCCTCCGGTCGAAAACGCGCCATATATAGTTGATGAACTATCGATAAATCAATGATTATAAATAAAAATTGTTCGGCCCAGAGATTATTAGAGAGTGGAACTCAAACCTTATTGGCAGTCTATAATGCTCCGAAATCTGTGAAAAGTCTCAATCATCTTCGTTATATGCATTACGTCAAGTCTACAAAACTTAATAAACCTGTGCAGCTTTCAAATATTCCACCAACAAGTGCAGCTGCTCATCAACATTTCAACCGTGTATATTATCAAGTTCAAACTTGGTTAGGACATGATTTGGAACCCCAGGTATGGGGTTGGACAATGCGAAATGATTTTCTGGAACCTATCATGACAATTTTACCACCTGCTCCAGAAGATTTGCTAAATACAATTTTCTGCAACTGCAAGAGTGGTTGTGGTGCGCGATGCGGATGCAGGAAAGCGGGCTTGCAATGCTCTTTAGCTTGTGGCCAATGTAATGGGCAAGCTTGTCTCAATGCTCTACCATATCAGAGCGACATTAACGAAGATGGAACCTTTGACCCCGAAATCATGGAAGAACTTAAGACAAATGTCGTTGAAGACGATAATGAAGACCAGTTTGAAATTTACCAGCAGCCAGAAGACGACGATAAAGAGGAAGAAGATGATTAAAAAAATTTAAATTGTAGTTTTTGTAACCTTTATTCCATTTTTTTACTTTCAATAAAAATAAATGTAGGTATTCAATGATATTTTTTAATAAAAAGATTATTCATAATTTATTTCATTATTTATTTCATCATGTAAGAAGTTATTAATATTAATTAGGTTAAAATTCAAATATAATTCCTATATTTTCATTAACAATTCTGCAATTACATGGGCAGGTAAGTGTTGTTATATAAATTAATACTGAATAAAAAGTGGATAAGTTAGGAAAAAAATGATAAAATATAATATAATAGTTAATAAAAATTGACAAATATTTATAATCATTGATTTATCGATAGTTCATCAACTATATATGGCGCGTTTTCGACCGGAGGCACCGGTTGACCTGAAGTGATGCTGTGACCGCACGCTCTCCCCCCTCTATCTCGAAAACGGTTCACGGTATAAAAAATGTTTTTAAACAAAATTTGTAGAGAATTTTGTATTCTACAATATTGATAATGAATACAAATAGCAGAAACCCATAGGAAATGAGATATTTCCAAAAAAGCGCAATAAACCGATTTTTGTGACTTTTGACCTTGAAATTTAATAGTTGCTTACACCCTACCATATGTAGGTTTTGAGACAACTTTTAGGTGACACCCTAAAAGTACATACAAGTACAAGTACCAGTGATATACAAATATTTACAGACTTACAGCTGGGTATCTCGAATTCCGAGATTCTTATCTAATTTAAGCTTAAATGACTGGACTAGTAGGCTTATTTTATTATCTGATTATTTCGTAGATTCCATTTAAGAACCAAATGCTCTAATATATATTTAGCTAACAGATGTCGTGGCAGTAATCAACATTAGAGGCAGGCTTCTTATCATTACATCATGGCAACTGCTTGTGTTAAGCCAGATTGTTTTTGTAAAAATGAAAAAAAAAAAAATGGTTAGTAAAAGGATACTGCGATTTCACCAAAACATAATAACGTAAGAAATATGTAATAGAGAAAGGTATATAAGATTATACAAATTTTCAGCTTAATTGGTGCAGAACATTTTAAGTTTTTGGAGCGTACACAAATCAATATAACAATTTAAATATACAGATAAAACCCCCGGTTTGTAAATCTTAAGAAGACATTTTTACGCAGTCAGCTGTTTTGTTTTCTTTTAATTTCAATAATTAGCTTGTTTAGTATCATAAATAATTATATGGAACTGAAGTGCCTCAATTAGTTTTTTATGTCAGTGTCGAGTACATAGTAACGTAAACGTAAAAATTGACAGAATTAATTGTCTTACCTTTTATTAAATTACCTGATTAACGTTTAAAGTCACTTTGATAAAATGAAAAAGAGGAATTCTACCATCCAGAAAGGCATGCCAGTTAGGAATGATGAAATGGTAGCAGGGTAAAATTGGACGGTAGGGTGAAATTGTTTTTGTCGACGGGCTAAATTGAAACGTTGACATTTTTGGTTCCATAAAACAAAAGGTAGCCACGTTTTATTAAAGGGTTAATAAATTTGTAATTTGTTTGTTAAAGTGTGCTCTATAATTCTATTCTTACCCAATCTTGTACAAATACATATAATAGCGACGGGCCCCAGCTTAGCATGGATGTTAAAAGACTTAGCTTAAGTAAGAAATCTGAATAATTTTGAGCGAATGTAATTATCCGTAGGTTGTTTTTTTAATCAAGTAAAACCTTAATTACATCTTGTTAAATACATAGACCATTGCGTGGTTAGGAGGAGTTGGTAAATATACAGAAAGACGCGTAAAGCAAATTTATGTTATGCTATGTAAGAAGAATACATTTTTCATGGAATAGGTGGCAAACAAGACGGCTCAACTGATGGTAAGTAACTACCTTTGTGAGTCTCGCCGACATAGAAATAGGGGGTTATGGGGGGGTGTTGTTTCTACGATAATCTCACTAGCAAGATACTCTAGAAGTCATCACCGCAACAGCGTTTCATAGTCAACTGCTGGACATAGGCCTCTCCTTAGAAAAGAAGTCTGTGCCTACTATACCACGTTCCCCGCTTAAAAGGGGTGATGACACTCCGTATTCTAAATCCATGATTAGACTAAATATATTTAAATCATTGGACAATTCAATGAACAGATAAGGTATTCCAAATCGATCTTTAATTATTTAATCGCAAGTATTCGTTTTTGATTAATCGATTTTAAATCGACGTGAATTATTTTATATTTATATAAATTATTCTGACACGAGTCCAATCACGACCCACACAAATGTTTTTTTAATTTATACATTATACAGGCTGATGCAGAAAGGTGTTTTGTATAATTTATTAATTTAAGTGTAGTCGACATATGATCGCAGCTTTCCGCCACGGTTCCACACGGCAAATATCCATCCTCATCACTTGGATAATTGCGAGTCTACTGGGGGACTACACCGGGGGAACACCAGATCGATATGGCCTTTAAACCTTCAAAACTTAAACCGCAAAGGCTGGCAACCCTTTCGTGAATCCTGCGTTGCAGGCGTTCATGGACAGAGGTAGTCACTTTCCATCAGGTTGACTTGTGTGCCCTTGTGTGTTGACTTGGTATAAAAAATGTAATGGATTATTGTTTTTATGGCAAAAATGCCTTTTCTAGTGCACATTACTGAAAAGCATTTTAAAAATTGTCATGACAATTTAATTTTAGTTTTCTTTTGATTTTGTTTATGCACACATATAATGAGCTTTTATTTATTAATTTGAGCCGACTCCCATTCGTAATATTGACTTTATCGACCAATTTTCCAATTTATGTTGTCAATATTAGATTTTTACAACAAAAATCACGTTTTCACTATTCGACCCCAACTTTGACCCCACCTTTCTATAGTAACACCCTGTGTAAGCAATGTGACGCATACGTTATTATTTATATATTTTGGAACCTTATAATAATGGAATAATTTATTAGTTACCATAACTGAAGTGATGAATGACTGACTAATATTATTTTAACGTTTGAATGACGTAGAGATAGTACACGTATTATAAAGACATTTCTACATATCAATCAATATATAATATATTTCTTATATACAAAATTCTCGTGTCACAATGTTCGTTCCCGTACTCCTCCGAAACGGCTTGACCGATTCTCATGAAATTTTGTGTGCACATCGGGTAGATCTGAGAATCGGCCAACATCTATTTTTCATATCCCTAAATGGTAAGGGTGACCCATCCCTAATTTTTTTTTGTTTTGCAAAACAACGTTTGCCGGGTCAGCTAGTAATATAATATAATATATATAATATATCGAATATCTGGTATAAAGAATATCTGGTAACGTATATCGGACGGTATTATACATATAATAAATATTTCGGACATCTGACACACAACGCCATCTAGTTTCAAACTAAGCAGAGCTTGTGCCATAAAAGCTAGATTGACTGATAGAATACTTATACACTTTTTTTTTTTTTAATACATACACATTATACATAAAAAAAAACACCTAAACAAATTGCTGATCATACAAGCATTTGGTCCGCCCCCCTCAGTACAGCAGTCGCATACGATTCCACTGGACTATCGATTCAGTCATATCACATTTCTATATCCTAACAATTTCTGTTAATTTGGTTTACCTATAATTGTTATACCTGTAGCAAAATTACATATATTCTAATTATTTACTCGACATTATAAGTTAAGAACGTGTGGTGACGGATTAAGAATACGGAATGTCACCACCCCTATTTATCCCGTGGGTGTCGACTACACAAGACAACAGTACTGCAAAGAGAAGGAAAACTTGAAACAAACCCTACACCAACTCGTCGTGCATACATTCTATCCGTGTGGTGAAGGATTAAGAATGCGAAGTGTCACCACCCATATTTATCCCGAGGGTATCGTAAGAGCCTCCTAAGGGAGCAAACTACGCAGGACAACAGCACTGCAAAGAGAAAGAAAACTTGAAACACCCTATATATACCAACCCGTCTGGCCAGCGTGGTATAGTAGGCCAAAACCTCATTTCTAAGGAGAGGCCTATGTCCAGCAATGGACTGTTATAGGCTATTGATGATGATAGGTTAAGAACAAAGCATTTGTAATTCTATCAAAACTATTATAAGGTCTAAAGGTAATAAAACACTGACATCGAAAGGTGAGTTTTATCAAAGGACATAGTGACAAGTGTTTTAAGGCGGCGGCGCTCTGCAGTTGAATTCAAAAACATACTTTATGTAGTAACAATTAGTTATGATTTACTCTGAGATTAGCCCATTCAGTTCCATTCTTTGAAAGAGCTGAACATTACCCAATAATGCCGACACATTACACAATTTATACTAAATCATTGAACATGGTATGTTCAATGATTTAGTATACTGAATTTGCGAATTTTTTGCCGTGAAAACAGGATATTGGAAATTTAATGTTTGATTTAGTCTGGTTGTTTCTATGTATAATATGTATGTATTTACAGAAATAAAGTATATATATGTTTATATCAGTTGTCTAGTACTCATAGTACAAGCTCTGCTTAGTTTGGGACTAGATGGCGTTGTGTGAATGTGGTACAATATTTTATTATATTACTAGCTGAGACCCGCGGTGTTACCCGCGTTTGTTGTTATAACCGCGGGCAACGCCGCGGGGCGAAGCTAGTCTAAAAAAAGTAGCCTAAGTTACTCCTTATGTGATCAGCTATCTGCAAGTAAAAGTCCCGTCGAAATCGGTATAGTCGTTCCAGAGATTACCTGGAACAAACAGACAGACAGACAAAAATTGTAAAAAATGTTATTTTGGCATATGTACCGTGTAAACATACATATGCATTTAGTAAAAAGCGGTTATTTTAATATTACAAACAGACACTCCAATTTTATTTATGTGTATAGATGTATAGATATTGGTCCTAATTTATTAACCCTAAAATAATGCGAATACCGAAATCGTAAATGAAAAACTTTCACTGTAATAAAATTCAATAAAATAAAATAAAAACACACTTTAAAGGCTAATAGAATATTAAAAGGCAACACTACCCACCTACTGATTGAACCATCGGGCTATCGTTATTAATTCCCATCTATAAAACTCATTAAAATGAATCATAATAAGTACAAACACTCATGATTAACTTTCTGGCTTTTTCTTACTTTACAAGATTTGTTTACATTTGTAGTTATTTAACTAACAAAAATAAACTAGCTGACCCGCGCAACTTCGTCTGCGTCTCTCAATAGTAATAAATTTTCTCCGTTTTCGAAACATTCGTCATTAGTGCTCCGCTCCTATTGGTCTTAGCGTGATGATATATAGCCTATAGCCCTCCTCGATAAATGGGCTATCTAACACTGAAAGAATTTTTCAAATTGGACCAGTAGTTCCTGAGATTAGCGCGTTCAAACAAACAAACAAACAAACAAACTCTTCAGCTGCATAATTATAGTTATAAATAAGACTAGTAAAAGTGTCTTTAAAAAAAGTGGCATTCCGGGAGTGCCGACAGAAGTGAAAACATGATTATTTTAATTTTTTTGATTATAACATGTTTTTTTCAATTCGAAAAGTTCAGATATGAATAAATATTTTCTCGACATGAGTATGTAATACGTTTATACATAGTAGGGTATATATGTATATTATATATAGTTATATTATTAATGTATTTCAACCCAAACTCAACTCTCATGTAAACGGTACAATATATGTATGTATGTAGATACTTATATACCGAGGTGTCGGTAACGGTAACAGTTCGAGTTCAATGGTTTTTTCCCATCTTAAAAAATACATTATTTTGTTTGTTGTTCAAAAATGCCCAACGCGGCTAAATAAGTTTTCAAAAACTTTAATTTGTCCACAGATATATCGCAGTAACACAACCCATAAAATACGCAAAACATAAAAGTAACGCACGAGTGTGGTGCATGATCGGCGTGGCCTGGCTGGTCTCCGGTGCCATCGGATCTCCTGTAGTCCTGGGCTTGAACAACACACCAGACAGAAGACCTGGAGACTGCTTGTTCAACAACAAGGATTACGTCATCTACTCTTCACTGGGCTCTTTCTACATACCATGCATCATCATGATGTTCTTGTATTATAAAATATTTAAAGTAAGTGCTTGTTAGATCAGGAGGATTTATTTATAAGACCGGAGGCCGCAGGCCGCAATACCCGCCCCCCACAAGGTGGTCCAATGATCTGGTAAAGGCGACGACGAACCGGCTGTTGAGGCACGGTATAACAAATTGTGGTCATTATACATAACACAAACAATTATGTCGACCACGACCTTCTCCAGGACAAATGCGAGCATAAATTCTCTCGTAATCTCTTTAACTCGTAATGGTTAATTATACTTTCTCTTTACGTAGTCAATCATCCAAAAACCCGGATAAAGGCCTCGCCAGACTCTCTTCTAGGAAATCTAATTTAATTACATATTGTTATGTCCATGCTGGATATACTGATAAATCTCTTTTTTTTTCAGGCAATACGTCAGAGGGCGCAAAAGCAGCGGATTGCTAAGAAAACGTCGGCAGCTATCAGCTCAGCAGTATCAAGTGGAACTGCAGCGGTTGTCATAGAGAACGTAGCGCAGACACAACGGTTAGACGGGTCTATGCACGACGACAGACCTACCAATACAGCGTCAGGGAGCAATGAGGAAGATGATGTGGAGGAGTAAGTGTTAAATTGCTAGGACAAAATAACAAAATTAATTATTTTAATAATATAGCGATTGTGGACGAAGTTTTCATGACGAATAACTATCGGAAATATACTCTGAAAGATGATACATGCCACCGTCCTGGAGAATCAATCAGACATATTGCTTCTGGTTGTTCTCATCTCGCTAACGGTGAATAATTGCACAGGCACAACCAACTAGCCAGTATCGTGCACCAACAGTTTGCCCTTAAATACCAACTTGTGAATCTAGAGGTGCCATACTACAGGTATGTGCCTGACCCAGTTCTTGAGAATAGCCACGTTGTATTGGAATCGATCTATTGTCACGGACAGGACTATTGTTGCCAATAAGCCAGATATTGTGGTGATAGATCGATTAGAGCATCGCGTAATGATTGTTGCTATTGATGTTCCTTATGACGAGAATCTCTTTGGAATTATCTTACGAGATTGTCCATATGTGGAATGTGGATTCGGCGATCATTGTTCCGATAGTCGTATCTGCTCACGGATTGATAGCCAAGCGCCTCGACCAACATCTAAAGAGGCTTACGTTAGACGGCTGGATCAAGGGTATGATAACGAATGTCTCCTTGACACGACCCGTATATTAAGGAGGTTCCTGTCTTTGGAGTCCTAACCACCGGTGTCTTGATCCCTGTACCTGCTACCGATGGGACACTATTTTTTATATTTTTTTGGGTATTTTGCTTTTTTGTACATAAATATATTTAAAAATGTTATTTAGGTATATTTAATGAAATAAAGAGAATAATTATAATAACTTGAGACACCTCATACACGGCCATCCGATAGGTATAGCCTGTACTATAGTGACCAGACTGTTGATAAACATTGTTGTTTATCAGCCATACCGACTCAACAAACGTCGTAATGGTTTCAACGGTCACCTCGCCGATTTCTACTGCGCTGAGTATTGTGAGTTCAATGCCCATATTGGACAATTCCTAGTGCGGGAGTTTTCTTGTAAAAAAAACATTACACAGACCCAGACCACATGCCCATGATAATAATAAAGATTTGTTTTTCCATCACCCATGTACTACATGTTTGTTCTTATAATATAATTTTACTTAAAATAATTTATTATCCACTATATCATTAATCTATTTGTGTCTTCTTAAACATTACTTTCTTCGATAGGAACTCCAGATTTTGAATTCCATTCAGACGAGCCACCACATACAACAACGATATCGTGTTCATTACCCAATTATTTATTTATTCGGGTTGGTAATCGAAACCACAACCTTTGGCATCAGTGGTCAGACTCGCTAACCGCTAGACCAACAGGCCCGTCCTATATTACTTATTTTCTTTACCAAAATATATTTTCGTTATATGTACAGCGCTTGAGATATTTAATAGAAAAAAAGAATTATTCAAAATTTCAAATATAAGGTCAGATAATAGCAATCACAAAGAAATAACCGAATTGACACCCTTCATTTTTGAAGTCAATGAATAAGAAAAGATCGACAACGAAAAATTCTTTTTTTTCAGTAATCAAAATTAACTAAATATTGATAAATGATAAATGATATATATTTCTGTAAGTAAATCTTTTCAGATATTTTTACAAGTCGGACTTTACAGCTAGAAGGAGCCGGCATTTCCTAAGACTCACTCTGGGAAGAAACGCCGAAACAAACCACAGAGGTGTCTTTTTTTTTAAGTCCGTAAACAAAGTTAAATAAAACTGTGCGAGTACAGTATAGGGTCTGGATAGGCCTTTTGAGGAAAGGACCATAGTTTTGAGTCAACCTGTCCATACAGACGGCATACAGGCTCCAGCCATCGTGAAGCCTAACCGATATTGTTTTATTTTACTGCATACAATGCAATAATACACTACAATATCATGTGTGGTAACTTTGTTCCTATTCTGTATTATTATTTTTACGTGTGGCAACCCAAACGGGTACCTTACTGAAGCCTGGGATGAAGTGGTATGTTAGAATCCAAACAAAAAAACCATGCCAGTGTCTAATGTATTTCCACGATTATAATTATTCGACGGCACGGATGGCGTAGTGGTTTAAGCGTTCGCCACGCCGCTTCCTACTACGCTGAGTGCTGTGGGTTCGATCCCCACATGGGACGACACTTTGTGTGATCCCCAAATTGTTGTTCTGAGTCTGGGTGTTATTTGTGTCCGTTTTATGTATGTTGATAAAGTCCCCCACGGCACCGGATATATTCCTAATGCGGGAGTTGTAAGAAAATAATAATATTGGAATGAGAAATACAGGAATACAAAATTTTATAAAAATCTGTTACTACAATTTTGGACGGAATTGCCGGAATTGACGGAATTGCCACGGAAATTTCTTTGCCAGACAGTTCATATTGGGAGTCAATTAGGATACTTTTGTTTTGAAAGAATACTTAGAATGCCGCCCAAACACATAAATATGTCCTCGCATTCCTAATATAAGTTAAACAGAAACGTTTTAGTTTTATTTATGCTTGAACTTTTAACTCTTTCCGACCATTCAGAGGTGAAGTTTTACCGCAGTACCTGGTATTTATCCAAAACTTTTTGTGGAAATTGAAGTCTTTAGTGTAGAGACAAGGTTAGTTCATATAACATAAGTTTATTTGGAAAGGATTTTTACATAACAATATTCTAGGATTATACACAACACCTGTTCGAAAACGTTGGATTTGGATCCCAACGTTTTCGAACATGAGTAAAAATGCGAGCCTGTTGGGCTAGTGTTTAGTGACCCTGACTGCTAAGAATCTGTTGCTCACCCTGAACAAATTGTGTAATGAACACGATCAAATTTTGTTCTGTCTGGGTAATTTATCAATCATCATCATCAATCATCAACAGCCTATAACAGTCCACTGCTGGACATAGGCCTCTCCTTAGAAAGGAGGGTTTGGCATACTATACCACGCTGGCAAGACGGGTCGGTATAGGGTTTGTTTCAAGTTTTCCTTCTCTTTGCAGTGCTATTGTCCCTCATAGTTTATTCCCTTAGTCAGCTCTTACAACACCCACGGGATGAGAAGGGGTGGTGACATTCCGTATTCTTAATCCGTCACCACACGTCATGTCGTCATCTCGTCATCAATTTATCAATAATATACATGTATTCATACATTTTTAAGTGTGTTCATAAGCTGTATGGTTACCATAGTATCCATCCATCCATCCAGTATACCATCATACGGCCGTCTCGTCTGTGAGATATGTAAGGTTATTATTTACATTTAAAAGAAAAAAACTTGGGAAAATAATTAATAATAAAAATAACTCTGTCTGAAAGGTACACCCTGTGCCTTCTAATAGCGGTATTTAAACTTTCATAAATATTCGCTAAGTAGTTGAGGCGTGAAAGCGTTAACACATATGAACTCTTTAAAAAACTGTAGCACTTCTTCAAATATATCGTGTGTTCGTGTCACTAAAATGTCCATTTAATACAGAACATTACATACGGACTGAGTAACACCATTATTAACTCATCAAAAGCCTTTTGATGTTTCAATGGTACGTTTAAGTGGCAATTGGACTTGTTGTGAATATCTATTGGATCGTTGTGGCTGGATAATGGTCTCAAAAACTTTGGAATCAGGCTCCTAACAGTTATCGATATTGGCTCAGATAAAAAGGTCATTTCGAATGGCTTTCAAAGGAGAACAAAGGTTTTAAAAATATCTGCTCTGCTGTACTTATTTGAGTTTTGGTAAATAATATTATACTAGCTTTTGCGGTAAAGCATAAGGTAAGCCTATGTCTTTCCTCAAGAATCAAAGTATCTTCATACCAAATTTCATCTAAATCGGTTAAGCGGTTTAAGCGTGAAGCAATAACAGACATACAGACAGACAGATATCTAATAGATGTAAACCATTGTCTGCATGTAGCTGAAATGCGAATGCTATGACTTATGTATGGTGTGACTAGGATGGATAGGTGAGGAATGAATACATTAAAGGAAGCCTGGAAGTAGGGGAGGCCTGAAGCATTTGAAAATTGACTGATAAGTTAAAATTTCGTAAAAGATCGGGCTGATATGAAAAATAATTTGACGAGCGGATGGCATAGTGGTTTGTGTAACGGACTGCTATTCCAAATGTTGCGGGTTCGATTCCCGCTCAAGTCAAACATTTGTGTGCATGAACATTTAATGTTTGATTTGGTCTGGGTGTTTCTATGTATAATATGTACGTATTTACAAAAAAAAAAGTAAATATTATGTATTTATATCAGTTGTCTAGTACCCATAGTACAAGCTCTGTTTAGTTTGGGACTAGATGGCGTTGTGTAAATGTAGTAAAATATATTATAAAAATATATTATATTATAATATTAAGTATATTTCAACAACTATTCGATAAAGTGTATAAGTATCTTTTTAATGGATCACCAGGCGGGACACCTGTCGAGCATGGCCTATTTATGCCTAAGCATGGCTCTCCCATGATAGATCTATTTAATACAAATTTTTGTTAAAGTTAAATCAGTTTGTTGGCAACTTTTTATTATAAATCTATAATTGCCCGTTTTAGCAGCTTCGGCAGAACAGAGATGGGCGAGTATGCTGAAGAACTGGTCAACTCAAGATCTGCAAGATTCATGCTTGCTGCTGTCGTTGAAGAGACTGGCCTGTGAGTACTTTAAAAGATTATTGCTATTGTCTTTTTTCTCTTTCCGGTCTTCGATGCTTTGTTTTTGACCCTTTATAATCCATATTCTATATAATAAATATCTGTAGTTTCAAATGTTCAAAGAGCTTTTTTTGCAGAGTAGGTTGTATATTGTTTTTAAACGGTTCTTACACTACACCGCGCTACGCCACGAAGTCCGGGGAAGATTTTTACCAGATTTTTACCTACTAAGCAAGTATCTCAATTTATATTAAAAAAACACGCCGAGGACAATACACTGACAGCGCGTCTGGGTACATACGTCAAAATCTGCGCGTAAGATTTAATAGTCATAGGGCCAGGTAAAAAATTGGTCAGTTATTTTTTCTCAAACAATAATAAATTGGTGAGACGCTTTAGTGCCATAGTCAGCTGGTTAACTACAATTAATAAATCTTTTGTTTAAACCTTTGGGGTAAAAGTATGTAAATATTTAAATTAACTTTGTATAGCCGAAGTAGTATTTATTTAATTAGAATAGAAAGGAGCCATTATAACTTGGGCGCTTTTTATTCAAACGCCAAGCTTAACAAATAAATAAAAATGAAGTATCTGTTTATAATGTCTTAATAGCAGCCTTTTACCAAATGTATTTGAACTTTTAACCCGACACTTGTAACAATATGCAACATTTTTTCTTATATTTATCTATCTGTCTGTTCTTGGCAAATCGCTGAGGTTGTAAGAGCTGCCCTTTAATAAATAAAAATATTTTAAATTGGCGCAAAACATAATCTGTGACTTTAGAGCTTCTGAACGAAACGAAGACAAGACGCAACAAGACATTTTAAGATTGAAAAAATGAGATTTTAGCACAACAACCGAATCTTAAATAATAGGCTAGTTGACTCAATTTGAAAACTTGGTTAATTATATACTTTAATATCTATTTTATCCCAAAAAACCTATATTTTAAAGAAAAAGCAATATTTACATTACGTATTTTGTATAAAAAAAATAATTTATATTACTCTTGAAAACGCTGAATAGTGTCATGGCGTCTTTAATGACGTCACAGTCTGCGAAATAAAACTGTTTACATCTGTGTCCAGTGTCAACTGTTTTCTAAAAATGAATAAGGAATAACCTGAGTAACCTGCTCTGTTGTATGAAAACATCAACAACATCAATGATACTTTCTGATTGTGCCTATTTAGTACGTTTTTTTTTAAATATTAATAATCTTTAACTTTTATGAGAATTAGACTGTTTTTTTTTCTTATCTATGTCTCTTCATTTATAATTTGAAACTATAAACCAATAAATTTGTTATTAGTTGACACTAGCCTATTATGTAAGTACTTTAGTTGAAGGTGTCACTAGAAACTTATTGTTGTCACTAAAAACTATATCTATTAGTTATTTGATAAGGTAACAGATATCTGTCATCAAATAACTAATCAAATATTGCAGAACAAGTCAGAAGTTTTCCGAAAGTGTTCTACGACTTTCCAGAACTTTCCCTGATGTTTCCGAATCAGGTATTACGATAATATAATATCTGCCACATTCTCTGCTGTATTCTCTCTGGTATTAATAACTAACATAATATATAAAGAATACCCACTGTTCGTGAAAATGTTTCAATTACGTCATAAAATGAAATTATACAGTTTTCAAATGATCTCAACCGCGCCTCCCGAACACTTCACGATACCAAATATACTTGTAGTTACCTAAAGTATTTATTTATACCACTTCAGTGCGTTTTCAATGATTCACTAACTTGAAACCGTTTCGAAATCCACTTACAACGCTCCATTGGTTTCAAAAAATATCATTATATTTGAAACTCAACCAAAGGAATGCAGTTTAATGAAGCGTGAGGCATCATTTTGACATAAACCACTTTGATGTTTTTTATGTGACTCTACTTAATATTTTACCTTTTTAATATAATGTTCGTGAGGTTTAAAGTAAAATCGCAAAAAGCAACATTTTTTGTTTACTGGATTTTGGAATTTCGCAATTGAAACTAGAATTGATTAAATTTAAAAAGATTTTATTAAAAGAGGTCTAATGAAGTCTGCCATTTGGGAGATATAAGTTTATTCACAGCGTTCTTTTTTTAATTTTAAACATAAAGTTGCAAACGAACATGTGTGTTTGCCGCTGACAGGTATCATAGACAATTGATTCTTGCAACACCGGGAATGGTTGCCAGCTCTATAAAACTAAAAAAGTCTAAAAAAAATTAGTTATCCAAATATAATACCATGATTCCATTACATTTCCATGACACTCACGTGAATAGTATATGTAGTAGTAAGTAAAATATTGAAATAAAGTTTTTTTTTAAATACTATCGAATTCAATGCGCTTACATGCGTTTACATGAACTATAATAAACTTTATTCCTTTTACCTCTTTTCTTAGGGATAGTATTTTTCTTCAAATATAAATAAGATCCACCATGAAGTCTGCCCTCTCAAAAAAAAAACTAATTGGTTCATCAATGGCGGAGTTTTTAGGTAATAAACATTTAAAAATACAACTGAAGTTGCTTAAAATCTATTCCAGCCTTCCAGTATCAGCTCCTTTTTAATAGGATTGTTCAAGGATATTTCGAATTTTTATTATATTTTAAATTTTAAGATTACTTGTTCACGAGCATGACGCATGCACCAATTTTTCTCACATTTGTTATTTCCTTCCATAGCATTATGGCAAACCTAGCCTCCCCAATCCCGATGATGGATCCTAACACGAACAACGATTCGGGATACGCGCCCTCCAATATCGATGGGGATAAGGAGCACACACCCCCTGCATCACCAACGCAGAAAGAGGAAAAGAAAGAAGAAAAAGAAAAGACTGAACCGCTGAAGAAGCCGGAGTTGAAGTGAGTAATTATTTTATGCCTGTGTTTTATTGAATCGAATGTTAATTGTTTTTCTGTCTGTTTATACCTCTTTAATTTAAGATATATTTTCGAAGGAATGTATAGAATTCTACAAATTTAGTATTTATTATTATTCTATTTTATGATATTGCTATATTCTTCTTAAGATTTTTTCAGAGAAAATACTCCGGCAAATTAAAATGATATAAAGAATTTGTATGACGTTATACCATTGCTTGAAAGATGTATTGAAGTTTTGGCAATGTTTAATTGCAATAACCATAATTTGCAATAAACAAACGCAAAATTTGCAATGTTCAGCATAGCTTTTTTAAATTATTGTTTGTTTATTTAAATTTTTGTGTTTGTTTGTTGTCAATCTTCCGTTTGTTTATTACGAAATTTACATTCCTGTATTGCAAAATGTGCATTTATTTATTGCATATACATTTAGGTGTGCCCTGGATTATGTCTTTTAAATGTGCATATTTAAAGGTCATGTGTATGGAATATTATTTATTAATATTTACGTGAAGTTTGCATTTCCGCCTTTTTTGAATTGAGAAGTGTAATTTTTTTTTATAATTTACGAGAATTTCAATGACTCAACAGTGTGGACATAGAAAAATAAGAATGATAAAAGAAATCGAATTCAAAGATATAAAAAACGTATATTTTTTTTAAGGATAAACCGTTTAAAATTAGGTCAGTTGAAGTCCTTCTCTCAGTTGCTACAGCCTCTTCGAGGAGCATTATCAGTCCCGTTGCCCATTCAAGATTAGCTGTATCTATTACGATAGCTGCTTAGTCTATTCTTTATCCTTTCCCCAACTTACTTAATTCCTTTGCCCCGTTTGAAAACGATTACCAAAGAATTTTACAACAAGCAAGCGGTTAGTCATAAAAATAACCAATCTAATCCTTTTGCAATTTCGAGTCGGTGCAATGTATACCACATAGCACCGACTCCAAATCTCGGATGAAATTGGAACAAGAATAGTGATAGACACCGCAACCTGTAATTGTGTAAAATCAGCCAAATTCTTTTGTTACACGTTAGTCGTTACACCAAACCCAAATAAAAAACAGGAAGATGACGACGTCACCACGATGCCTTTTTATGCAGACTGTTATACATTATTTAATTATGTACTCTGGTACTTAAACAGATGGCAGCACTGACATTACCTTATGTTACAAGTAAGGTTTTATATTATCTGTGCTCTGTGAACTGTAACGAACAGCTGACGATTCCTCGTAAAACGTAACGAGAGGTAGATGATATGTACTCAAATAAATCCTTATTTACAGAGATGTCTTGGGATGAATACTAAAATACCTTTAGTGTTTGAGGTCAATAAGACAGAATATAAATGTTCTGAGACTATTCCTATTATCGGGTGCGTTTTTATGACATCCTTTTTAGGAGATATCTAAGTCCAGCAGTGGACTCATAAAAACTGTTAACGATTTCATGAATATTTTCTCTATGTCATGTTAAAGCTTGATTAAAAGCCCGACCGTGTAATGAACTTTGTACTGATCCGCTTAATAATTTGGGCATGTTCATATTTTTTACTAAACGTTCGAAAATAAGATTACCTGACGATTCTAGCAGGTTGCACTGGCTGTGCTGGCCATCGCGTTATATAACGTTATATACATAATAAAACGCAACGCATATTTTAAAGATAGTACCTTAATTAAGAACCGTAACCTTGATTGAGGATTTGTTGCAGAATTGTGGCAGCATATTGTTTGAGTTTTAATACGACGCGCGCTTGATGCCAATGTCTATTTAATAATACCTACCTAATAATAATATTTTTAACATCTGGACACCCAGCGCCATCTAGTCTAGTTTAGTGTAATTCCAGTCTATTTGTATTTATTCTATTATTTGTGTCTATTCGATATCTAACGAGTCTGTGTCTATACTAATATGATGAAAAATATTGAAAAAATCCTTTTGAGAGACGCAGAGGACATTGCGCGGGTCAGTTAGTTTAAAACTTTGATTTATCTTTGATATGGATGGCGTAGTGGTTTAAGCGTCACCACGTCGCTTCCTACCACGCCGAGTGTTGTGGGTTCAAACCCCACACGGGACGACACTTTGTGTGATCCACAAATTGTTGTTCTGAGTCTGGGTGTTCTTTGTGTCTGTTTCATGTATGTTTGTAAAGTCCCCCGCGACACAGGATGTATTCCTAATGCGGGCGTTGTCTTTTTTATAATAATAATGAATAATAATATGGGATGTTATGTGTAAGGGTTCAAAATTTCGGACCTTACCAATACTCGTAAGAGTTGGTAAATCTTAAATTTTACTGGAACAATTAGGTTTTGTTGTAGTTGTTTTGTTGACTTATAAAATAATTTTCTTCTATTTTCGTTTTGTAGTAGCATTGGAGGGGTTTGGTATTCATCATTTACTGCTGGATATAGGCCTCTCCCATTATCAGGTATTATCATTCAAAAAATTAGGAAAGGGTTTTTAATTACCTACGTCAAACAGGACATTGTTGTTATTTGTAACTTAATGAATGGTGGTATAACTTCGTTGTCTGAGCGACTACTTTCTTATATTTTATTAAAATATATAAAAAGGCAATAATAATACAATTTAGGTCCTTCTTCTTTTTTTAATTCCTCTTCTCTTTGTTTTCCCGTTAACGTGCTTCATCAATTATAAAAATTGAAAACAGTTTTTTTATCTTTTCGACGAAACGTTATTTATTTTAAGGTAATTTATTTATTTCTACTTATGACTTTATAATAATATAATATAATATAATATAATATTATCGACCATATACACACAACGCCATCTAGTCCCAAACTAAGCAGAGCTTGTACTATGGGTACTAGGCAACTGATATAAATACATATATACTTTTTTTTTGTAAATACATACATATTATACATAGAAACACCCATACCAAATCAAACATCAAATGTTCATGCACACAAATGTTTGACCTGAGCGGGAATCGAACCCGCGACCGTTGGAATAGCAGTCCGTTACACAAACCACTACACCATCCAGTCGTCAGTTATGCACTTTATCTTCATCAGGTTATAGTTGTTATATATTAGTGATATACTTTTAAATATTAAATAACATATACATACACACATGTACATAAATATACTTCAATGTAATTCAATTAAATAGAAATATTTTTTCCCTATATTGTATTAGGAAGAACAATCATACTTCTTATTTAAACTCGATACAGCTTTCCTTATATTCGTTTTATCTCTAAGCAGACATTGGTAAAGTGAAAAAATATTGCATAAAAAAATTGATAAAAAGATGAGTACTCCGACATTTTGGATGCCAAAAATAATTCAGTAGCCTCTCGTTTAGTGCTCGTACTATCTTTTATTATGAATGGTAACTTTATTAGGAGAATAATTTCCCAGCCCAGTAGCATTTAGTCTGATACTAAAGTAAAAAAGATACCCATACATTTAAAGGTGCAGGTGTCAATGGGCGGCTGTAGTTGCTTACCATCAGGTCACCCGTCTGCTCATTTGCCCCATTATAACATAAAAAAAAGAAAACCTTAAGAACTAACTTCTCTAAATAATAGAAAGCCTAATCGGCCGATTTATTTTCAATTTGTAGATGTACATTCATCCGTTTGTGACTCATGGGTTGCAGGCGTTCATGGGGGGCGGTGGTCACTTGTCATCTTGTGACAGGTCTGCTCCTCTGCCCCCTCTTCCATAAAAAAAAACCTTCATGCGTACATAATTTTAAATATAATCGGTTAAAGAACTTTTAAAGGTACTCTATGTTCATTTAAAAACGTTATTTACCCAGATTTAAATAGATTGACAAAATCTACATAAAAGCGAGCCAAGCTGCGAGTAGAAAGGTTCAAAGCTAGCTGGGAAACTTAAGCATTTGGGAAAAAAATTCTCTTAGCACTCACTTGTTTCAAAATAATGTCTGTTCTGTTATCACGCTCCCCGCGTTATTCAGTAATTCTATTACCTATTACCTCATATTGTGCAAGTAGGTGGATTTTAGAACTCCCTAAAGGTATATTTTCTACCAGCTTAGACTTCTTTATTTTTTTATGAGTAACTTTCATATTAGTACTAAAGTGTAAAGAAACTGAATATAAACTACATTTTGTGTTTACTAAAAATGAAACATGAAAAAAAGTTTATCTTTCAAGCAAGCATAGGCCAGGTTTTGTATTCATTATTTCGTCGACGTTGTCTCAAAGAGAGGAAGTTTCGTAAAATATTTTTGTTCATATTGAAGCCTACTCCAAAAACAATATTATGTATATTTTACTTTTATAATTGGTTTACGTAACGTTGTCTAAACTATATCTGGCAAAAAGAATTATCCCAGTGTTTTTCAACGCATGAAACTGACATTTATCAATTGACGGGCCTGTTGGTCGAATGGTTAGTGCCCCTGACTGCTAAGCCGGAGGTCGTGGGTTCGATTCCCACCCAGGACAAATATTGTGTGATGAGCATGGTCATTTGTTCTGTGTTTGGGTGTAATTTATCTATAATATGTATGTCTTTAAAAATATATAAGTATGTTTATCAGCAGTCTGGTTACCATAGCACAGGCTCTGCCTAGTTTGGGATCAGACAGCCGTGTGTGAAATGTGTGAGGTATATTATTATAATTATAACGACGTTGAGAACTAAATTTTTAATCAATTATTTTGTAAATAAAAGGTAAATTATTGAACGTTTGAATAAAAATATTCGTGAGTGATGTTTATATTTATTAAGAACGAGTTAAATCAGTTAACTCCTGTGGCTCTTGCCGAGATGCCCGACTAGTGTCAGACCCGACGAACCACCAAGAAAAACCCACATGAATAAAATCGTATGTTCTTAATAAATAAAAAAGAGCGAGACTTAAATTAGTCGCTTTGAATGTCTATTTTCCATATCTCACCTATCTTACACCTCACATATCTGATGGGCAATCCTAGCACCCGCTCAATGACCCAATCAAAC